GGCATAAGGTATTCTGCAACGAGTAGATGAGTGGAGAACTCTTCTCATGAAATATTTCTGGACTTTCTCTACTGTGTTAATATCAGATATGTAATGTGGTTTCTAGACTGATGAGCTGTATTCGAGTATTGGTCTAGCAAATGTTTTGTATGCTCTAGTTAGTAGTGTAATATTACCAGAGAAAAAGCTATGTAAGATTAGGTTAACAACTCTTAATGCCTTTTGGGCTATGTAGTTACAGTGGGCTCTAGCACCTAGATCATTAGAGATGAGTACTCCAACATCCTGGACAGAGATTGGATCATCAACAAGGTCTTGACTATTCAGCCTGTATTTTATTTTCTGATTTTTTTTGCCAATATGTAAGACAGAGCATTTATTTGTTGATATTTGAAGTTGCCATTTGTTTGACCATTCTGATACATAGTTGAGGTCTTTTTGAAGGGTAGCAGTATTGTCGGTGGTGTTGAATAGATTTACATCATCAGCGAAGAGAACGCAGTTGCTCAGGATAGTTTTAGAAGTAGTTTGTCATGTACCACTGAATCAAAGGCTTTACAGAAGTCTATGTAAATAGTGTCTATTGCTTTGCCCTGATTGAGTTGTGTAGTCCATATGTTTTTGCAGTGTAGGAGTTGCAGATTACAGGATAGTTTTTTTCTGAAACCAAATTGTTTGTTAGAGGGTAGGTTGTTTGTCTTTAACTGGAGGATAATGGATTGGTTAATGATTGATTCCATGACTTTACAGGTGATGCAACATAAAGAAATTGATCTGTAATTTTCAACTAGGCTGGGGTCTCCCTTTTTGAAGATGGGGATGACTGTGGCTAGTAACCATAGGTTTGGCAAGGAGATGGTCCTGAAAGATTTTTCAAAGATTATGTTTAGAGGTTCTGCTATGGCAGTGGATAGCTTTTTTAAGAAGTAGGCATATATTCCGTCTGGTCCAATAGATAGAGATGGTTTTAGATTGTGTAGTACTTTTTAAATATTATCTTCTGTAAAATTGATATGTATTAGATCATTGTTTTTGTTTGTGGTTCATTTAGGAAATATTGGGCATGATCCATTACTGGTTACAAAGACTTGCTTTTTACAAAACACTACTGGATAATGGTTAATGTGAATTGGCATCAGATAAGAATCAAAGGAATTCAATGGAGGATGGACTTTTTAGAATAGATTTCTTTATTGGCCAAGTGTGATTGGACACAGAAGGAATTTGTCTCCGATGCTCTGTTTATTAGAAAGAGACTTGGTTTCTTTCAGGGCATTATAACTCCAGATTAATGATGCATTTGACCCCACTCTCACACTCAGCCTAGTCATCTCCTATAAATGTCATGTGTTATGGATTTGGGATTGTGTAATTTAGCCATTTGAGGTATCTTGATTCAAAAATTCTTGCCTCATGATGCACCATTTCACCCAGTTAAAGGTCATGATAACATTGTATTATAATCATAATACTGAATTCAGGGCCATGATAACCCAGTTGGGAAAAACAAAAAACTTAAGTTCCACAGGGTTCAATTAGCAAAAGTTAATTAATTACTCTTTCATATGCTGCTGTGTACTCACAAATAGAGGGAATGTGTAAAATGAGCTATTACTTAAAGGATCTAAGCCAGGTTAAAAACATGCCAAGATCACAGATAAATAGGAAAAAAAAGTAGATTTAATTAAAAAGAAATCTTTACTCTTCAAGCTGCAGAACTGGTGTACTTGGTGAGGGGAACTACAGTATGTGTGTCACAGAGTCCTTGGAATCCCCAACTAAGTCTCCCTATGCCATTCATATAAATCACTGAGGATAATTGATGCCAGAGATGTTTGAATTTCCTGTTTCCATTTATTCCACAATTAGCATTTCCCCCAATAATAAGATTTAAAATGACTTTGAATGAATTTTAAACCCTAAATGGAAAAGTCAAAATCATTTTATTTTTGTTATTTCTCTGCTCAAATTCTTCCAAGAAGTTTCTATGTAGCCAATGTCCACCAATTAAATTAAATGAGTACTTGCTTTATGGAGTCCTAATATGATTGATTAATATAGTAAAGCTTTTTTTGAGGATCATTTTTTTTTGCATCAGTGTAAATACATATCTTTTAACTCAAGATATCATCCTGGATGTTTAAAGTATACTGCTTCCAAAAATGACAATGTAATAAATCTTAATCTACAATACCTGTCAAAATTGATTGACAGCTGTATCCTGAAGCCCTGCTTCTTTGGAAATGGACTTCAACATTTTCAAGGGAATAAATTGTTTGTATTCTGCTGGTGTAAATATTAATTAATGTGTATATTTAATAACAGGTTAGTAAATTAATTTAACTACATTAGTTTTTCTCCTGATTACTATTTATTCCAAATTTGGATGGGGATTTAATCTTCAGAAGTCCCAAATGGAAATGTGTTCCATACTAGCAGGCTTGTAGGCCTGCATTCCTATTGGTCCGGAAAAGCCGGGCCGTGATTGGACAGAACTAAGCATTCTGATTGGTTCTTATTCGGCTGCCGCGATTGGGTAAAACCAAGCACGGCAAGCTCAAATGCACGTCATAGGCTGCCTAGCCGCAGCCAGCTCTATAAAAAGAGCTGCCTCAGCTGGGAGTCTTGTCTCAGTATCTGGTTTCCTAATAAAGAGCTGTTGTCACTATTTCGAGTCTCGTCTCTCCTCGGGACCCACCGCCCAGACTTAACACTGGTGACAAGGATGGGATACTGAGACAACAGAGCTGACTAGCACGTGGCAGAGAGTGCATAGACGACCTGCAAGATGGCCAGCAGCGCCGTGCCACCCGCACCATTCAACCCGACCAGCGAGGACTGGGAGTCCTACATTGATCGTTTCCAAATGTTCTTGGAATCAAACAACCTGAAGGACGCCACCGGCAGCAAGAAGTGAGCAGTTTTTCTAAAACAGTGTGGACCCGCCGTTTTTAAAATGGCCAAGGCGCTCGCGAAGCCAACAAACGTCAAGACCATGGATTGGGATACCCTAGCTCCCATCCTCCGGAACCACTATGCCCCGGCGATGCCGATTCTCATCTGTCGGCATGAATTTTACCAGAGGGATCAGCGTGAGGGCGAGAGCATTGGAGAGTTCGTAGCCGACCTGAGGGACCGAGGAGGCTTGTGCGGATTCACCAATCTAGATGAGGCCATGCGTGACCGAGTCGTCCTCGGCCTGAAAGACCCAACTCTCCAAAGCAGACTGATGGCTAAAGGAGACATCTCCCTCGCCGACGCCGTAGCCGAAGCCACTGCAGCCGAGGCCACCTGTAAGTCAGTGGCGTGAATGCGACGTTCAAACGGAAATGACCGCCAACCCACCAGTGAGACGGCAACCGCAGCAGACAAACACGCAGCATCCACCCACCACGGCGACATCGAATCCCCCTCTGACAGCGAAGAGGAAGAAATTCACAGACTTCAGTCAGAACGCGAGCAACGAGACCGGCGCGGTCGTAAGTCGCGTTACCAATGCGCCGGCTGCAGAGGAAATCACCCATGTTCCGAATGCAAGTTCCTGGAGGCTGTTTGCCGTTTTTGCGAAAAACGAGGGCATATTGCCAAAGTATGCAGTAACAAACAAAATTCCAGCCCCCGACGATGGGGAAACAGCCCAAGAAGAAGAGATGGCAACCCCACCATAAACCGGGACCGCCATAATGACAGCCGATGGAACCGGGACAGCTGACCCAGGAAGTTTGTTGAGGCACCCAGAAGAGAAGAAACGCACCAAACAGTCACCATCGGCCACGTTTCATCAATAGATGCACGAAAGATACGTGTAGAGGTCAACATCGAGAATCAGCCTTGCACCATGGAGGTAGACCCCGGTTCCTCCCTCTCTATGGTCTCCTGGAGGACCATCAAAAGACTAATTCCCAGCATCCGCTGCCAAGAGCTTAGCGACCAGAAGCTAATATTAAGAGGCTATCAAGGTAATCGCATTCCGGTCATTGGCACTGGACATTTTCAAGTCTCGTTCAGAAACCACACCACCATCCTACCACTCACAATCATCGATAAAGACAGACCCAGCCTACTCGGGTTGCAGTGGTTCGCACCGTTGGGGATCGAGATGGCAGGCATCAACCACACAGAAGATGGAAACTGGGAAACAACGCTCATCCAGGACTTCCAAGAAGTCTTCAGTGAATATCTAGGCAAGTACAAGGGGTCCCCTATCTCCTTTAATCTCAGCCCTGACATTGCTCCCATCCGTCTCAAGCCGCGCCGAGTGCCTTTTGCACTCAAGCCTAAAATAGATGAACAATTAGACAAACTAATAGCGCAAGGCGTGTTAGAACCCATCGATCATGCCCGTTGGGAGACCCCAATTGTCACCCCCATCAAACCCAATGGCTCCCTGAGAATTTGTGGTGACTACAAGGTCACCCTCAACCATGCATTGCAGCAGAGCGCCTACCCGGTGCCAGTAGTCCAACATCTCCTGCACTCAGTGGGTGGCAAGGTCTTTGCAAAGCTCGACCTGGCTCAAGCTTATCAACAAATACCAGTTGATGCTGAAACCGCCAAAGCCCAAACAATAGTGACACATAGAGGGGCGTTCAAATGTAACCGGCTCCAGTTTGGGGTCAGCGTCGCACCGGGCATTTTTCAAAGTCTAATGGAGAGATTGTTGCAGGGAATTAAAGGAGTCGTGCCCTATTTCGACAATGTCCTGGTAGCAGCCCCTACCAAAAAACAATTAGAAAAATGACTGAGGGCGGTCCTACATAAATTCAAAGATGCTGGCCTCAAGGTGAAAAAGGAAAAGTGCCAATTATGCACTGAAAGGGTTGAATTTCTTGGCTATCTCCTTGACAAACAAGGAATTCACCCCACAGATAAAAAATTGAAAGCCATCAAAAACGCCCCCAGACCAAAGAACATAATGGACCTCCAAGCCTTCCTTGGACTCATTAATTTCTATAACATTTTTCTACCCCAGAAAGCAACTGTCGCAGAACCTCTGCATAGACTCCTTGATAAAAAGGCTTCCTGGATATGGGGACGGCGAGAAGAGCATGCTTTTCACCAGATAAAAAACCTTTTGACTTTAGACGCAGTCCTCATGCAATACAATGAAACGTTACCTCTGACGGTTACTTGTGACGCATCACCTTTCAGGGTTGGTGCCATCTTGAGCCATGTTTTACCAAATGGAACGGAAGTCCCCGTTGCATTCTTTTCCAGAACATTGTCCAAGCCAGAGAGGAACTATAGCCAGCTGGACAAAGAAGCCCTCGCCATCGTTTCAGCAGTAAAGAGATTCCACAAATACATTTATGGTAGGACATTTTCCATTATTACAGACCCGGTGGCGAATGGTAGAGCTGAACACATGGTTCAATTTACAAAAAAAACTCTGCACAAAATGGAACATGGCAATATCCACGAGAAGATCACCAGGATGCTTCTTCTACAACATATCACACCAAATACCACCACCAACAAGAGCCCAGCAGAGCTATTAATGGGCAGAAGACTCAGGTCACCTCTAGACCGCCTGCACCCTGCTTACACTCCAGAAAAACCCCTTGGTTCCAGCAGCAAGCACCGCACCTTCAAGGTAGGAGACACTGTATTTGCCAAAAACTTTACAGGGGACCCACTTTGGACCCCTGCAAAAATCACCCAAGTCACAGGCTCGAGACCACCGATGGGAGGTCGTGGAAACGTCATATCGACCAGCTAAGATCCAGGCTGGCTGCTTCCCCCCTCATAGACTCTAACCAAGAAATCAGAGGGGGGGGAACCTCAAGTTCAGAAAATGAACGAACTGTACAAGTAGAACACCCCCCACAGACATTAAACAAAAACCAACAATACTTACCAGCCAGAAGGGAGTCGTGGCAGACGGGCACTTCGCCTGAAAGCAGTGGCCGGACAAGCTCCACCAGCCCAGAGAGCCCAGGCGGGAGCAGCAGAGCAAACGACTCAACCAATCCACCAGGCAGGAGTCGCTGCCAGAGGACTGGCTCACTCTTCCAGGCAGTTCCATCTTGCAGCTTGAGAGCAACGCAGAGCCCGTCCGAACCCGATGGTGAACAGAGACACTGTGAACTGTGCAAGTCTAGTAGGCAGGTATGAAGACCCGCCTACTTGCGTGATTACGTTACCCCGCCCCTTGGACGGAACCAAGAGGGGAGGGGTGTTCCATACTAGCAGGCTTATAGGCCTGCATTCCTATTGGTCCGGAAAAGCCGGGCTGTGATTGGACAGAACTAAGCGTTCTGATTGGTTCTTATTTGGCTGCCATGATTGGGTAAAACCAAGTGCAGCAAGCTCAAATGCATGTCATAGGCTGCCTAGCTGCAGCCAGCTCTATAAAAGGAGCTGCCTCGGCTGGGAGTCTTGTCTCAGTATCTGGTTTCCTAATAAAGAGCTGTTGTCACTATTTCGAGTCTCGTCTCTCCTTGGGACCCACCGCCCAGACTTAACAAAATGCTTTTAGGTTTGCTGCTTTTCAGCACATCAGTTAAGGTACAGAGATGAACATAACAATAAGAATCTCAGCTTCTTGGACTAGAAAAGTTGAAATGGTCTCCACTGAGAAATGACTTTGTGACGGAGCCATTTTCCTGAATAGAAGTGTTTTCCCTGAATATGCTTTGGAAACATGTTTCTGTTCAAGTGATAGCTGAGCATAGAGGTACTCAGCGTAACACAGTAAAAAGCCATCAGTCTCATCTCAATATATTTTTCTCACAGCTAAAGTGCAACAAGAGATTGATGAGGCAGTGAGCACAAATCACACTCCAAGCATGAAAGACACATTGAAGATGCCTTTCACATATGATGTGGGTCCACAGGGCTCAATGTTATCGGATTGGGAGCCTTGAGAGCTTTCCACAGGCAACAATTTGTGATGTAAAATTCTATGGTTACAATATTTTCAAAGTTAGCTGATAATAACTACTAGTCAAGATAGACTGCATTAGGAAAATGGATGATTAGGATGATTTAGGTGGTCAGAGATCTTACAAGGCAGTTTGAATAAATACATATTAATATGCATTATTTATGACATTGTAAATTGCCTAGAGTCACTTTGGAGAGTGAGATGGGAAGTATATAAATTTAACTCTGTTAATCTGTAATCTGTAATGAATACATTAGTTAAAACAAATCTCTCTCCCTTCACTCCATTTCAAATGTTTGCAGATTGTCCCCTGCTGGCCTATTTTATTTGAGGCAAGTGAGGATCTTTCTAATCTGCATGAATCAACACCAGCTAATGTCATCTGATTTCTCACTACCCTCCTCTAGTAAATGGTTCTTATGCCAGTCCTCTCCTTGGTGCAGAGAAGTTCAACCCAGATCATTTTTTGAATGAAAAGGGCCAGTTCAGGAAAAGAAATGCTTTCATGCCATTCTCAGCAGGTACCATCTTCTGAAACAGATGTGTTACCATGAGCTGGCCTGATCCATGTTATTTTTTTATCAGGCACAATACCAGCAGGTATACTTCCTAAATAAGCTATTTTCTTGTTTGCTATTGCAGGGAAGAGGCCTGCCAAGGAGTGGCCCTGGCTAGGATGGAGTTCTTCCTGTTCTTCAGCACTTTGCTCCAGAAGTTCACCTTCTATCTGGACGGGGACACCAAATACACAGGTGTAAGGTTTTCAGATAACAGATAATCAGAATTGGAAGGGACCTTGTAGGTCATCTAGTCCAACCCCCTGCCCAAGCAGGAGACCCTACACCATTTCTGACAAATGGCAGTCCAATCTCTTATTGAAAGTCTCAAGTGATGGTGCTCCCACAACTTCTGTGGGCAAGCTGTTCCATTGGTTGATTGTTCTCAATGTCAGAAAGTTTCTCCTTATTTCCAGGTTAAATCTCTCCTTGTTCAGTTTCCATCCATTATTCCTTGTCTGGCATACAGGCACTTTAGAAAATAGCTTGACCCCTACCTCCCTGTGGCAGCCCCTCAAATATTGGAAGATCACTATCACATCTCCCCTGGTCCTTCTCTTTACTAGACTAGCCAAGCCCAGTTCCTGCAACTGTTCATTGTATGTTTTAGCCTCCAGCCCCCTAATCATCCTCGTTGCTCTTCTCTGTACTTTTTTCAGAGTCTCAACATCTTTTTTATGTGGAACAAAACTAGATGCAGTACTCTAGGTGTAGTCTTACTAAGGCTTTATAGAGTGGTATTAGTACTTCCCTTGATCTTGATTGTATCCCTCTGTTAATACAATTTAGGATTGCAGAAGAGGCTAAGCCACATGGCAGAGAGACCAAAGTCTTTTATTCAGAAGATGGTGAAGCTGTAAGAACATAAGATGTAAGGAAAACAGCTTTCCCCATCTAAATAAAAGTCTTCGGCTTCTGTGTCACGAGGGCCTGCAGGCTTAGTTTGAGCCCAGTGTCAGGCTCCGGGCATGGTGACATACCTTGGAGCCCATCAACTCAAATGAAGTGCTTCTGGGGGAACCTTGGTCTGTGTTTAGACTCTCCATTCTGCCGCTGAACCGATACACCACTCAACAGCTGATGAACCGCTGAACAATTGATGAACAGCATGGCAACAACAGCGTTGGAGACTTCTGAAGGAAATCCAGATGCTGATGACATCATCAAGGGGCTGGGACATACCCTACATTCAGTGACAGACAAAGAGCAGCCTGACGGGACTATCATAAAGACACTTGCTCACAGGGAGGGGGTGCAAATGGGTAATATCTGGGCCAGGGATAGACAGGGATGTTAGGACAGGCGACAATAGGAGAGGCAGGGAATGCTAATCCATGATCAAATGCCAGAAGCAGGGAATGATTACTGAGGGAGTGATTAGTGATTAGAGTGGAGCAGAACTCAGGAGGTAGATGCGTTTAGGTGCGGCATGGCTGCAGCTATAAACAGCACTGGGGGGCAGATGCTCACAGCACTAACCTTAACTGACTTCCTGCCGTTCTTGTCAGATGGAGAGTTAGTTGTTTGTGAATAAACCTTTATTCAGCTTTACTCAGTCTGAAGTGTGTGAGTTGATTTGTTTTTCCTGCAAATATGCAGGCTTCCAGGAGACCGGCTGAGACCAGTCTGTTGCATATTGGCTAGTTTGAATGAACAGCTTCAGGGATTGGGGCGTGGCAACCAACAAACAAGGGCCTTGCAGTTCAGTCCAATGAGACAAAGGAAGCAACCTCCCATTTGGCTGCTGCTTCTGCTGCCTCAGTCCCTGAAACAGGAGGCTGATGTGGCCCAGTCCAGTCCTAGGCCTGCTTGCCACATGGCGCCAGTTGAAGTCTTTTACTCAGTAGCTGATGAAAATGTTTTCCTTAGATTTCACATACTTACAGCTTCACCATAATCTCAATAAAACACGTTGGCTTCTGTCATGCCCCTGGTGGAGACTGAATCTGAGGAAGAGAAGGAATAGCCAACAGGGAGTGGGAGTGTGGCTCCAGAATTGGTGGAGGAGCTGGGGAAGGGCAGAGGCCAGCTGAGCAATCAGAAGAGGATCCAGGCCCATCCCCTATCCAGCCTAGGGCATGCAGAGAGGAGAGGATCAGGGAAAAATGAAGTCTACTCAGGAGGAGATTACCATGATTCTCCTCATGGCTTGCAGCTGGGAGCTATGTATATAAGTTTGTAACTGCGTAGTCAGAATTGCTGGAGTCAAAGTTTAATGTTTCCTGTGAAAGAGGTTTATCTTTGTTGGCGTTCTTCCCATGGACTCTCCCTGTTATCTTCCAGGAATGTATGATTAATTATCTTGGCTTGCTTCGGAACTCTCATCAATGCAGTTTGTTTTGGTTTTCTTTTGCTTCATTATTTACTTTTGTGACTTTAAACTGTGCCTAATAAAACAGTGAAGTTAAGTTGAAGGCATTACCGGACTTCAATGTTTGTTTTGGGTTTTGCGTTATTTTGAGAGACTATGGGTCATCACAGCTTCTCTGCCAGTGGGTCAGCCTCTTCTGGACCTCTAGAGATCTTCAAAAAAGTAAAATCTTCAAAAAGTAATGAATAAAGTAAATGGCATGATTAATATTTCCATTATTTTCAGTGGGAAGTAAAGGTAATTAAGTTAGCATGAATGTAACCTATTAAGGTTATGTTTAAAAATATAAAAGAACTATATGTTAAAACTGTCCCTGGTTTGCATCATTATGTCCATCCTTTGATTTATGTAGCAAATTGTATATTTTTGTTTTGATAAAAGCAAAGTGAATATTCAATGAGAACCAATCTGTTTCTTCAGAGTAGTTCCTCTTGCATCATCCTCTAAAGCTCTACTGATTTTTCTTAATAATTTGTTTATTTAGAACAACATAAAGGAAGCAGAAAAAAAAGGCAACAGAATTCTTAAGGGAGCAAAATCCTTACAGCTATATAATGAATGGTCTCTAAAGTGGTCTTATTACCACCATAAAAAGCTGACTTTAAAATGCAGCTATTACTTTTTCCAAAATATATTGTTAAAATTTTAGAAGTTACCTATATTAACAGATAGCTACTTCCGTTAGCAAAGAACAGCTTCCAATATTGGGGGTGGGGGGTGGGAATAATCACAGATCCAGCAAATTTTTATATTTTCTTGAGAATCTGTGAGAAACCTTTTGCTAATGTTACAATGAGACTTCACTGAGCAACTAATATAGTTTTGTCTTCTTATGGTTCTTGAAATCCATGTCACAGAATTAAATGTTTCAAAGGTATTCATATCATTTTAGCCATTTTTGACATGATTGCCAGATTTAAAAATTCTGAGTGTTTGGACATTTCATGGAAAAGTCTTTTTATAATGCTACTATCAAGCATTATACATTAGGCTTATCAAATTTCTAGTTTCTGATCAGATTGCATTTCACAATGCTTCAATTGCATAATGTCTTGTTTAGTTATATTAACATAATAGATATCAGTAAAAATTATACCTTTATAGCAAAAAAAAGTAAGTAATCCATGGTTAATGGAATAGGGAGGAGTAAGTGAAATCTGAGATGCTACCAAAGCAGACACAGTCTGTGGAGACCCAGCGAGGCAGGATGGGGTGGGGGAAGCAATTGTGGAAGCATGAGGTATCTCAGTAGATTGGGGGATGTCTTGGACGGTCTGCTTCAGCACTAGGCCCCACATGCTGTTCCCCAGCCTGAGATACCTCATATGTATTTAAAGACCTGCACATTTGATTCACAAATGCATGGGGGAAAGCAGGGAGTGATCACATTCATTTAATCAAATGAATCCCTAGGTTACAAATGTAATTGGCAGGCTCTATGCCATTTGTAACTGTCTCTCAGATATAACATTCAAGCTTCTATGCTCAGATCTAATCTTCTCCAATCATACAGCTAAAGACTTGCTGTAGTCCAGTTCTAAACAACAACCTTAGTAAAATTCAGTGTCCAGTCTTTAATTCAGGCTATTTCTTGTGGTAAATATTTGATAGGTAGAGCAAACAGGCAAGCTGTTTCCTCCACGTATATCTTAGAATTGAAAAATTTCAGTCTGGTTGAATTAGGTTTCCTTTAATTGAAAGAGACACTATGAAGAGTTTCATTTAAATCAATTCCAGGTAGAATTTTCATCATTCCCTTTCTATTTTCTTTTCAGGAGCAGAACTTATCTGAGGTTATCTACTCTTTCGAAAATCTTGTGATTAATGTGTTTGGTCTCTTTACTGCTGGGACAATAACCACAAGCCATACTTTGCTCTGCAGCCTCCTAGCAATAGCTAAATTGCCACATATACAAGGTAGAGAAATACCCAGAAATACATAAAGATGTCAGTATTCTTAGAGCTTCCAGTGTTAATCCTGGAAAAAATAAACTAAATATGCCGTTAATTAAAGTAATTGCAATTGCAGTTGCAATAAAGTAAACACTGCAGTTGCTTTATTGCTTGCTAAAGTACTGAGCCAAATGCCCTTTTGTAGTCAATGAAAGCCATACACAAAAATATGGTGTACTCATTGTTCCTTTCAATGATTTGCTGAACAACCTGCATGTGATCCATTCTACTGTAGCCACTTCTGAACCCTGCCTGCTCCTTTGGCTAGTCTATTTAATGTTCTCACTATTCTTTTTCCTATTATCTTGGGGAAAACTTTGTAGATGACTGAAAGAAGGCTTATTGGATAACAGTCTTGAAATAATCTCTGGCAGTGGTGCAATTCAAACATTTTTACTACCGTTTCTCTGGACATGGCTTGGTCGGTGTGGTCATGCGACTGGGTGGGCATGGCTTTATTTTATTTTTATTTTTTTGCTTTTTTGCAGCCACCCCACCCGGTTTTTGGGCTCTCTGGGCCTCAGAGGAGGGGGACATTTTGCTCTTCTAAGGCTCCTCTGAGGCTCAGGAACGAAAAAAACAGAGCATGGGAGGGGCAGGCAGCACCCTTCCAAGCTCCATTTTGGGAGCTTCCTAGCCTCAGAAGAGCCTCTGTGAGGCATTTTTGCTCCCCAAGGCTCGTCTGAAGCTCAGGAAGAAAAAAAAAACAGAGTATGGGAGGGGCATGCAGCACCCCTCCACACTCCATTTTGGGAGCTTCCTGGCTTCAGAAGAGCCTCTTGGGGGGGCATTTTTACTCCCATAAGGCTCCTCTGAGGCTCAGGAAGGCAAAAATTGGAGGGAGGCTGAGCCATTTTTTGCCTTCCTGGGCCTCAGCAAGGGGAATCCTGGCACAGC